CCTATATATTTTGCCACGCGCCTAGAATTGGACAATAATCTTGTTATATATTGTTTAGTTTTTTTTTTTTTTTAAAACCCTATGGAATAAGGATTAGAGGGGATGCCTGAGATATCCGATTAGGGGTATTTTAATTGTATACTGCGGGCTCTGAACATTCGAAAAGTACTCTGGGCTCTCGTTGAGAGCTTAACGGATTGTTTGTGTGTTAAAGTTTCAGGTCGAATTTTCAGACGACAGGTGAGATAGTAGATAAGACACTACCTACAGATTTCGCCCTCATTTCGTGAGGACTTTAAAATTTGGGGTTCGAGATTTCCCATAGGCGCAAGCTTCTATGGTAAATTACCTCTCTTGAAAACAGGAGAGCACTTTCGATTAAGCCTAGTAATTAAAGACTAAGCATTCAAACTTAGCATATACTAATAACAAATTTAAAATATTAAATTATAAAAAAATTTCACCGTCTCGAGCTTAAAGCGAATGGTGGGGGAAATGATGACAAACCCGATCAAGATCTTATGGTTCCATCATCCAGTTTGTCATGATCCCAAATCTAATGAGTTAGAGGAGGTAATCATTCCAACTTGACTGAAGGATCATTGTTAGCAGTCATGGGTTATTTCGTTCAAGAAAACACTGTAGATCTGGGGTGAATATTTGTCTAAGGGAATTAATCTAAGTCAATCTTAGCTTACATAGGGCTTTCTGTCATTTCAAATATATCATATGATTCAACACTCAAAAGGGCAAACTGTCATTGGAGAACATACGTGCTACAGCTCTGACCATAATATAATTGTATCATTTGACGACAAACCACCCGGTCAGAGGATTCTGGTCATAAACGCTTCTTTGTGGTGTTATTTGGCGGCAATAACCACATGGACAGAGAACTCGACCACTTCCATACTGACATAAGATTCGTTTTAAGCATGAATTTAGTAACATACTTGATATGCCATTACTCCTTGTGAGCTCGAGTCAGCATTAGATTTGTCCACCTCGATAAACGGTTGCGGAGGGTGGATGAATTTTATTTAAATATTATATTATTTTGTTATGATTTAAAATATATTTATTTTATAAATAAATCCTTCTGGTTGAAATTTACGATCAACACAACCATCATCAGTGTTAACTGGTTGAAATTTACGATCAACACAACCATCATCAGGGTTAACTAATAACTCATATCACTAAAAACACTAGTCTTATGAACTAAAGTTATTGTAAGGAGGAGGATCAGATTGGCTTAGTAGAGGCTCAAGCTTGTCGACTCCATTCCTGGTGGAAGGAGATCGAATTGGCCAAAGTGTGGGACCTATAACATTGCCTTATATGCAAGAAGAAGGCAAGGAATCCCAATGCTCACGAATCATTCTCGGACGCATTTGTTTGAATATTTAGAGGCACGTCGACTACATGCAAGTATTTTATTTTTATTAATTGAACTTTATTTTAAATAGCTTTGCATGTGTTTCGAGACAATTGATTTTGAGCTTAAGCCTATATTTTATCCTAAGCAACATTCTCGGATTTTGAGATTGAGTATTTAGCATGTTGGTTGGAGCACAATGTTGGTTGGAGCACATGCGAGTATTTTAATGGATTTTTAGGTGATAATATTATTATTTGCACGAGTATATTATCATTGAGATGGGTGTAAATATTTTCAGCCTCAACTTCGCATTCTGTGCACTTGTGAATCTCGTAAAGTTTAAATGTTTCGGACTTTAATTGTATATTTGGAATTATGTCTATCTCCCGCATTTTTTTTAATACCTTAATGTTAAAGTTGAAGAGCGAGTGGAGGCAGAGGAGCGGCTTGTAGGAATAGTTGAATCGAGTAGGTGGAGGAAGCTAGAGTTGAATGGAGTTGAGGAAGGATGAGTAGGTGGTGTGGTACGAAAACTGGCCTGAAATGTAATGAACTTTGGAGTGTCGTTTGATCCCGTGGAGCTGCTGGCCTTCAGTAGGAAAGAGGGGAGAGCAGCGTCTGGATTCGGGGAAAATTGGTGAACAGTGGAGTTGGCCGGCGCTTAATGGTGTGAGGCTTTGGATGATAGTTTGCGCGAGCCATGAAGGATCGGACCGCCGGTGGGGACAGAAAAGGAGTGGGGTCTGCCGGCGAGGATCTTGCCGGTGGGAGCTGCAAGTGAGAGCAGGAGGGGCTTGCTCTCGCACCATGCCTAATCGACCCGTTCTGTGAAACATATGTTAGGGTAAACACATACCTTGGCAATCTAATGAAATCTTGGAGCTTCTGCGAGATTGTTCTTCCATCTCCTTTTATCTCCTCTCTTGTTCAATGTCGTTCTTGTGGGTGAATCTTGCAAGGCATTAACTATGTGCAGGTTTCGGTTCAGCAGTCCCAACTTCAATTTAATTTATGGTTTATGTATAACACCGCATGTTCAAAATATATGATAGTAAAAAATATAAATTATCGTTTGTGAAATAATAGGAACCATGCAAGAGCATGAAGGGACTTTTTCGGAAAAGAGAGCATTCCTACTTCAGTTAGCAGCTGGGACTAGTTTGCAAAATATTGACGAATTCTTCTCTAACAGGTGAGTTTTTCAGAGACAATTTCGGCACCTAATCACCCATTAGGTGCCCTATTATTAATTGGGCCGCATTTACATACATACCACACAATTACTAAGTATTTACATATCTAACAACCAATACTTTGATTTTTTTACTTTCATACCACTCTAATCTTTCATATCACATCAAAAATACCACTATTTTTACAAAGTGAAACACACCTTTTCATGTGTCGGTAAGGCGGTATGTAAAAATTGAAGTTTTGGTACTAGTTTGTAAATACGTTGGAAATGAGTGGTATGTATGTAAATCTTCCTATATTATATAGTTTTCCTAATGAAGTGCATTCACAGATCAGATTTCCTTCTCGAGATTCTTCGAAGGCTAGGAATTAGGAGAGATGCAAACATAGTGAGCTTGCTCATCATCATTAGATTTTTTTTTTAATAAGTTTTAGCAGCTGCAGCATTGATTAAGATACTTCTACTCGAGCTCATTTCACTTAAAAAACATGAATGTACAGCATGAGAAGCTCCAAAATCCAGAACAAAAGATGAGTTCTCAATTTCCTGTATCGTTCAAGAGAAGCAATCAAATTGCTAATTTTTGTGAAAACCCACAAGAGGATTTTTGTGTCAATAAGATTGAACAATATGACAATCTTTTAGAGCTAAAATGGGATGATACTGAGATTCAGGCTCTTCCATACAATAATTCCCCAATAACAAAGTTCAAAATCGAACATTGGATGCCAGATTTATCTACTGAGAAAACTCTTCCACTTTTGTGCAATTTCAAAAATCCTGCTTCAGCCATTGAATTGATCAAAGAATTTGATTTCAGCGAGTACAGATACACTGATGAATCTCAAGCCCTGCTTAGCCCACCATGTGATATTTCGGAGTTCAATGTATTTTTAGCTCATAATGCCAGTTATATGGGACAATTATGCAAAAGCCTGAATTGCAATTCAGTACTAAACCACAAAGAAATGTTTGATTTGTCTGTTGCAGAAGATTCAGATACTTCATTCAATTCAAACGTAGAATTAAATAGTAGCAGCCATGGATTTCTTAGAAGAAATCATGATTCATTCCAAGCTGACTATATCCTCCCCGACATTTATAATTCTGATAGTCTCCTCCAACAACAAGCACTTTCTGAAGAACAATTTATCTTCCCTTTGCTGGAGTGGGATGCTGCTGCAGAGCAAGAGATGTCAACTCCTATATGTCTTGTTTCAAAAGAGTTGGATCAAATTACAGAATCCCCCCTATATGATACTTTTGATTTTCACGACGACATAGGAAGTTTTGAGCTTTTTTAATGTTGATGGAAGGGAAGGTCTCAGTTTTTACAGAGCTACAGTGTTGATTTCATTTAGCAAGATTGGGAGCATGGTATGCGTGATTCTCTGTTCGGCAAACAGAATTATTCTGATAGTAGTGAAGGGAAAAAGAGGTTTAAGGGAGATCCAAATGATGTTTCTGTAAATATGTTTAGATTGAGAATTAAATACAAGCCCTTATGTTTTGATTCCTATTTGCCTATTCCTATTATCTAGTTGGTGACTTTTTAACTATTTATTTATTTGTAAATTTTGTTTTTTTTTTTTATTTGGAATTGAGATATCTTCTTTGATTAAGAGTTTCCTGTTGATTGCGTCACAAGACTCTTATTGCTGGATTCTGTTTTTAGTATCTGGAGTTACCAAAAACTCAGCTTCATTAAAGGTAAAAAGGTTTCTACTAAGATCGACTAGATCCTTTTGAAGTTATTATTACTATTATTATATTACTAATTAAAATTTCAGTATTTTCATTTGTTAAGATGATACATTTAGCTCCTTCGGTTAAAAAAAACATGATATCTTAGACTAATTAATATTTATGGTACTTTTGTTAATAGTTATAAGGTTTTATAAGTAATTTAATTATTAGTTGATATAACAAAGTTGTATGAATAAATCAAGTTAATTATTATTAAATGATAAGCATAATTACTCTAAATAGTCATGCATTTCTTAATTGATGTATAAATTAGGAAAATTGGCGATAAATTAAGCAATTTATTTATTAAATAATTGATAAAATGGTAAATTATTCAAATTTATTATATATTAAAGATACAAATATAATATTAATTTAATTATCAATTAGATTAATTAAGCTAATTATAAATTCAATAGATTAGTAAGCAATTCGTCATTGAAAATAGAAATTGAGCTTCATGAATGCAAATCTATTTTCCCTTGGATGTGGTGTTGCTAACATTCAATAACAATAAAAGCTTAACATAAAAGAAAATCAATTTTAATATTTGATTGGTAAAATTACCTATCTAACATAAAAGAAAATCAATTTTAATATTTGATTGGCAAAATTACCTAATCACAAGTAATATTTGTGCCGATATGACTAATACCTCCAAAACTTGGTAAAGATATATCAAAATTTTTTGGGGCATTTACATACATACCATCCAATTCTTATGTATTTACATAACTAACACCTAAACTTTTTACATTTATATCACTCAAATCTTTTGTCACAACAAAAATATGATTATTTTAACTTTAAAGTGAAATACACCTTTTTATTCATAGGTAAGGTGACATACATGTACAAATAATTTTTAGTACTTGGACATATAAATAGATAACAATAGTGTTATGTATGTAAATCATTGAAGTGGATTTTCAATCCATCAAATATGCCCGATAAAAGAATATCACGAATCCTCACCCTCACATCTCCATCAAAGTAAATTTTGAGCCCCTAGTTCTAGTTCTTGGCATACGTGTAATATGAGTTTTCCATTCAAATCCTGCATTTTTCACCAAATTGCATCTAACCTGGTGAAACTATAAAGAAAAACTCATTTGTAAATTGTCATAATTTGCATTACCTGAACGAAACCATCTCTTATAACTTTTCTGTTGGCCCATCTGTAGAAGAGTCGGCGGCCTGCCGAGCAGACAGCACCTTGTCTAAAGTCTGGTCTGGAACCGTAACTCCAGTATTTTCCATGTCGGCAACAATGGCAATGGCTGCATCTACTTCTCCAACATCCAGGCAAAGTAAGATGACTTCATCATACAATGGGCTGGTTCAGATTAGAAAGAAAACTAATTTAAGGATGGTTTTAATACATTAAAGAAACGAAGAATTGCATACATACCACTAAATTCATATGTATTTACAAATCTAACACCTAAACTTAATTTTTTTACATACATATCACCATATTTATGCATGAAAAGGTGTATTTTACCTTTTATAAGTTAAAATGCTGATATTTTTTATATGATATGACTTATATTAAAGTCATTACGACATGTTCACTAGACTTATTACTTTTGTTTGAACAAAAGGGGGGATTGACCAAGTGTTTTCCTATTTCAGTTGGATTGCATCAAGGATAATTTTAAGCCCGTATCTATTTTACTTTAGCTATGGATACTCTTACCGAGCATTTACCGGAGGATGTACCTTGGTATATGTTTTTTGTTGATGATATCCTTCTTGTGGACAAGGTTAAAGAAAGAGTTCATGAAAAACTCAAGTTTTGGAGGCCTACGTCTAAAGGCCTTAATTTGAGTACATCCAACATTGAAAATGTTAGAAGTTATATTACGAAACAATTTATTTTTGTTAAAAGTTATGAGGATTAAATTTATTTCCTTGGATTGGAATTATTTCTTTTTTTATGTTTCATGTTTTATGTTGTTTCTTTTATCTCTAAGTAATTAATATAAATTGATTAATTGGATATATAGGTGTTATATCTTTCATTTCCTGTTATTTCTTATTTATTGTCTTTCCTATTGTAGGATTCATATAATGGTTATTTATACCCTTATTTCATATCAATAAAATAATTCTGCTGAATACTGAAAATCAACAAAATACATGAAATGTAATTTTAGTAGTAGTAGAGCTAGTGGTAGAGTTATAAGAATAGGTGATCAAAGAATTAAAAGAAGTGAATGTTTTAGATATCTCGTGTCTATTGCTAAAAATGATGGTGACATAGATAGATGGGGATGTACTAGTAGAATTCAAGTTGGATGGTTGAAGTGGTGGAATGCATCGAGTCTATTATGTGATAGAAAAGTACTGCTTAGACTTGAAAAAAAAATTATAAAATGGGGGTGAGACCTGCAATGCTTAATGACATAAAACGTTGTCCTATAAAAGTGAAGCATAAAACTAAGTGATGAGAATGTTTAGGTGGATGAGTGACTTTACACTTAGAAACAAAATGAGAAACAAATATATCCGTGAAAGAGTTGGTGTAGCTCCAGTGACAAATAAGATTAGATATCGTCTTAGTTGGTTTGGTCATATTAAATGTTGATCATCCGATGATCCGATTAGGAGAGTAGATATTTTAGATTTGACTTATGATGTTAAGAAATGTAGAGGTTGATCTACAAAGACTTGAGCTTGCTTTATAAAAAATAATTTTAGCTTATAGAATTAAATGAAAAATATGACACTAGATAGGACACAAAAGAGAAGAATATTCATGTAGTTGACCCCACTTAGTGGCATAAAGACTTATTGTTGTTGTTGTTGTCGTCGTCTGTTATATACATTGTTGGGCAAACCATGTTGAAATTCTGTTTGAACAAGGTACATATGCAAAATAATTAAAACCTTCAAAATTAAGTACCCGTACACATCTATTTTTTACACAAGGAGGAAATCTTGTATTTATATGTTTCTCTGGTACCACAAAATCCATATGCGCATTTCTTGGCAATGAGAGGTAAGAGACTCAATTGGTGTGTTACATAACCATACGCACTTTTTTTGGCGTGATTGCCAAACACAACATTCATTAATTACCCTTCATATGGAGGGCCATGCTAGAATATTGTATAAATGTGGACTAATGGGACCTTAAGTAAACAATAATAAAATGACATTAAGGAGCGCTAATGTAATATAAGAATTAAACAGAAAACTTCAAGAAAAGAAAAAATGAATGGTGATGATGAATGAAAATAAAGCACAAAAAAAAAAAGTCATAGCTGGCTGAAGCAGAACTTATAAGTGACTTGCAATGACTCGGTGGTTCATACGTAACACGGGAATGGATAGAATCTAACCTGCAAAGATTCTTTAAACATCCGGAACATACAAAAACACACTCAAGGAGTGAATGAATTGATTGGAGAAAATGAACTAACATGGCTTCCTATTTATAACATTAAAATTGATTACTGGTAGGGCCCACTGAGATAAAATGAAAACATAAAGATGAAGATTATGGCACTTGAAACGTACAAAAATTTGAAATTCGTAATCACAAATTCCACAATCAATACAAGAAGATAGAATATTTCATAATTCAAGAGAAGAAATTAGAAATATTGCACATATTAATGAAAAAATATTCAGGAATTTAACAAATTTTGGAAAATTTTAAGTCTTGCACATGCTTTATGAGAATCTTTTTAACTCAAGTACTATGCCTCAAAAGTCATGCAGCTTGTATTTAAAAAAGCACATAGTTCTCTAAAATATGCTCTAGTCTATGAAATTAAACACATCCGCATATGCACTAATAAATATGCTAAATGCTCAAACTTGAGGTTAACTGATGTCAAGTTAACTAAAAGTGAGAAAAACTTAAGCTTTCTCAAATTGAGAGGCAAGCAGTTACTTTAAAAAAAGTGCAATCCTTGTGAGAAATTCAAAGTTCTTTTATAGCCAAGTATAAAAAACGAATCTCTTGTGGCAGTCTCCTCTTCGACTCTCGATGTAACGGTCGAGAGTAACGTCGCCTTAAGTCTCGTCGTCCATATCAGCCAATCGTTGTTGTAACAACGAATCACTTGTTGTATTTCTTCCCGGGTTAGGTCCGACGCATATCAAGTGGTGGCATGATCAGAAGTGTTTCAGGAAAGAGACGAGAGAAGGAAGGAGAAGATAAGAAGAGGAAAAAAAGGAGGAAAAGATGTAAAAGAAGAAAAAAAAAATTGGGTGGATTGGGTGAGGGTTGATGCTGGGAATCATATGGTAGGACTAGGGTTGTGCTAACTCTGATACCAAAATTAACCCAAACCACAACTCAATAGACACAATTTTTGCTGATTTCGAAGGAAGCATGAGGACCCTTGGACAAAAAACAACACAAATATGTGAACGATAATATAAGATGTACTCAACAAGTAATAAGATAAGTACTACAAAACAGCAGGAACAGTCCTGGACAACGTCGAAAGGTGGCTGAGAAGTCACCGAGGCTGAGGAAGAGTCAGCAGCAGCCGGACGATTGTCAGGTAGTCAGCAGTGGCCGGAGTAGCGTTGGGAGGGCCTGGAGAGGTCGGCAGCCTGTGGTAAGATGCGTCGGAGAGAGAGGCAATGGCAGAATGACTATTGCGAGGTGCTGGAGGGTGCTGCAGCCCACTTAGAAGGGTGTAGGAAGAGGGTGCAACACTGAAAATGAGTTGGGAAGGACTGGAGGATCCTGCGGCTTGAAAGGAATGACTGCAACCGGAGTATGGCTGGGGAATCGGAGGACCAGTGCTGAACGAAGCGTTAGGAAGAAATGATAATGTGATAGAGTGGAGTAATCACCACTTCAGATGAGATACAGCCAGAGCACCACTTACTGTCAGATCAGCCCTCACAAGGGAAAAGAAATTGCACAGAGGCAAACATGAAATGAGAAATCACAAAGAAAAACTAGTTAGACATAAGAAAATAACATGCATAAATAGGAGAGGAAGGGAAGACAAAAAACGCTAGATCCGAGAAAGGAAAGAGGTGAAGAATGGAAGGATTGCAGCGGCAAGGAGCGGAGGTAGAAGAAGAGGGCACGGGGGAGGAGGCGAGCAAAGCGCATGTCTCAAGACGGAGTGCAGAGCGAACGATTTAGGGTGGAACAAATGAATCGGCACATTAATACAATGGACTGGTCTGGTCCAGCAAGAGAGGCTGGACCAGCACCTTTCCACGTCCAATTGACGGGCGTGAATTGAACAACCCCACGTCAATATATATATATATTATATATATATGAGTTGAATTGACTTTGTTTTGAACGAGCCGTCTCCAAATAAAAAACAATCAATTTTGAGACAACAGTGGTATATTGATTATCGAGTGATAGTAAGATTTGGAAATAATTATCAGCCATATTTAAATTGTGCATGATGTAAGATGTCCATTTTTAAAGCAGACATATGAATAAATAACTATAGTTTAATGATATTATTGACTTTAAACAATATAATATATCACATTCAATTCCATCAAAATCAATGTATTTCTTATAACCTTACCTCCCAAAAACATAGCCAAGCTTATGTGTTTCTTGCAAAATTGTCAAGAAAGCTGAAGGAAGAGGAGCTCTCAAAGCAGCACGCAATATCATTGCACAGTCTCCAATGGTCGGTTTTCCACCTAATTCAATCACCTGAAATTTCAAAAAAGAATTTATAACTAAAAACAATATCTTCAGTTTCACAAGAAGAGATCCATTTGAAGTCTATGAAAAATAAGATACCTCAAAATCAGGCATGACTAAAAAACGTAGTCATATATAGGTTAAGTAAAGGTGTCATTTCGAATGGTCCACAAACAAGCAGATAAAGAACATGCTAAATAAATATATCAAACAAATTTTAAAGCATGAGAAGTTCAGCAATTTCAAGAGTAGCAAACGAGGACTCTCCTCTAGAAGTTTTCTATGATAAATTAAGCAGAATTATGTTCATCTGGCATGCTCAAAATTCACTTTCAAGCAAACCTGCCCAAATAGGTAAACGATATTCAACTAGCAAGCGATAAAAGCAAAGTCGAAACTCAGTAACTAAATTTAGGCTAGATAATCTTTAGAAAATATAAATACATACCCCTTTATTCTTATGCATTTACATGTCTAACACCTAAACTTCAATTTTTACATACATACAAACTCACATATGCATGATAAGGGAATATTAACTTTCTAAAAGTTAAAATGGTGGTATTTTTATTAGAGTGGTATAAATGTAAAAAATAAACTCAAGTGTACATATGTAAATACATAAGAATTGGGCGGTATGTATATAAATGCCCCTAATCTTTATTGAGACAAAATTCAATTCTGTAATGCTGCTTTTAGGGATGTCAAAACACATTTGTCTTGCTTTTATATTTTGATCGGTACGGTAGATTGAAACCACTTAAACTTTGAGTATTGTTATCAAAGTCTAATTCTATATGTGAATTTGCAGTAACACGTTTCCTTTCAAAATTATATAAAGGGGCATTTACATCCACAGCACGCGATGCTTGTATTTACATGTATAACACTAAACATTCATATTTACATATATATATCACTCAAATCTTTAACATCACATTGCAAATGCCACCATCACCACTTTTTTTAAAGTGAAATACACATATTTTCATGCATAGGTTTATCAAACTTTGGGTATTAGTAATTACATAAGATTTTGTGGCATGTATGTAAATTTCTATTATATAAATACTGTGTTGGAAGTAATATAGATGTAAATTAAGTCCCTACAAGCACAGTGGCATCACCGCAATGAGTTCTTGGTGTGCTATGAATCAAAACTTTATCTAAGTTTATTGGCACCCACAATAGAATTCAGTTTGAATTTATACCGTATTTTTCTTCGCACCCACAATCTAAGTTTAACCAATCAATTTTCAAAAAAATAATAGTGAAATGCCTAATACAAGAACTTCCAATAACAATGCCAATCAAGCTGATGACGGTGATCATAATGTAATAACCATGAAGCAGGTATTGGGCCTGACTGGGTATGCGAGTTCAAAAAATACAAAAAACTTTTTGGGGCATTTACATACATAGCACACAATCTTATTTATTTATATATCTTCCAACTAAACTTTCACATTTACGCACATAGCCTCAAATATTTAATGTCCAATCAAAAACAACACTATTACCACTTTTTAAAGCGTGAAATACACATTTTCATGGATAGTTTTAGTACCCATTAGTGCTATGTATGTAAATAACAAAGTTTAGGTGTGAGATATGTAAACACGTAAGAATTGCGTGCTACGTAAAAATGGTTTGGTATGTATGTAATTTTTCCTTTCTCTTATATTTTTAATTATTTTAATAAATGGGTTGGAGTCTTATTAACTATGTTTGTGTTAGATTATTTTCTACTAGGATCCAAATTGACTTTCTCTAGAAGCATTCATAATCCTCAAGGGAAATTTTAGCTTAACTAAAAGAGTAAGAGAGGCGTCAATAATAGTAAGGCCAGTGTTTGAGACATACTGAGCTACTAGAGCATAGCCAAACCATTCATTTCATATGAATAAAATAAGATGAAAATCGTATTTTGTAGGAATTAAATTAGGATCTTTCTTATTTTGTTTGTTATTATCATATTTTCGATTTTTTTTGTTGAAATTTTATATAAGAGAGGAATCTTTATTAGGTATAAAGGAATCTCCGCTCTCACCTGAGCTTATCTCTTGAACTAAGGATTTACCACCAGTGCCGCAGATGGCCACAAACATTTCTAATGATAACAAATAATTTCATAGGAGGTTCTTTTGTTTTCAATGCAACATCTTTGAAGTAGTGACACGCAATGGAGGGGATAAAATGAAGCAAGATGGAGGGAGAGAAAGAAAAAAAAATGCGGGCATCAACTGTAACACCAACGATAGTGCTGGTATCATGACCTGACTCGGGAGCATGAAATACCAAAGCAAAAACAGATAGTCACATAGAGAAAGAACTATCTAAAGATTTTATTTAAACAAAAATCATTAATTTACAGATATTCATTCAGATTTAAAATTTAACAACCAGAAAAAAAATAAAACTGAAATATTGTACATATCTCCCTGTCACCTCGATGCTTGTAAAAATACTCTGGAGTATCCATCTATTTTAAAGAAAGTTATCATTTAATATATTAACTAGAGGTATGAGTTAAATTATTCAGTGGGTAAAATATTTCTAAATTACAAAAAACATTTTCAAAATATATTGTAAAAAGAAAATAAGCAGTAAAATGGAGACGGTAAAAAATCAATTTCCTAGCTACTTTTATTTTTTTCAATTACAAGATTCGTCAATGGGAATCACCCTTTAAATGTGTACTAAAAACACACATTTAACATTTTCCAAAACCCACCAAAAAGGTAGGCAATCATTTCCATTCATTTCTATTTTACTTTGGCGAGTACATTGCATCCCTAGTCAGTGCCATCTTGGGATGACTCCTCATATGCATATGCATATACTATATTTTTATTTTTTTATTTAACATCTAAAAAACGTAAAACTTATATTATTTAAACGAAAGTAATAAAAAATGTTGCAATTGATTTCATAAATAAAAAAAAAACTATTGTATTTATCCACCTATTTAGCAAGATCAATTATTGTTTCCTCAACAACAACAACAACAACAACAACAAAGCCTTAATCCCACTACATGGGGTCGGCTACATGAATCCTTTTTCTCCATTGCGTCCTATTTAGTGTCATATTTTCATTTAATTCTAGTAAATTAAGATCATTTTTAATACAATAAGCCCAAGTCTTCCTAGGTCTACCTTTGCCTTTCTTAACACAAGTCGAATCTAAACATCTACTCTCCTCATCGGATCATCAGATGGTCGACGTTTAATGTGACCAAACCATCTAAGACGACTTTCTCTAATTTTGTCCGTCACAGGAGCTACACCAACCCTATCACGAATATATTCATTTCGCATTTTGTCTCTAATTGTAAAGCCACTCATCCACCTAATCATTCTCATCTCGGCATTTTGTCTCAATTATTGTTTCCTCAAATCAACTTAATCCTTTAGTGTACCTATAATAAGACATGGACTTTGATAAGTCTCTGTTCATTTGTATCATTCTTTCATGTTAATTAAAACTTAACTATTATTTACTATTATTATTAATTAGATACATTTATTCGCAGTTTAACTATTTAATTAGTTCTTTGTTACTTTATATGACAATATATATTGTGTCAGACAATAATATATCACAATTAAATAATTTAACTTTCAAATTTTTGATTAAATGATTTTCCTAAATCTCTTTCGACATGCTTAAATTAGAAGCAACTTAATTAGGCTTCTAAAGGTAGGGTACTTAAAACTTTAGCTTGGCTTAACACTAATTAATTAGAAAAAACAACATTTAAATATTGATATTGGACTTGTAATTGAATTTTCTTTCCCATATCAATGTCCTTTCCGAATTTAGCATTTTCTCCAAATACTTTAAAAATTTTCAGTAATTAGACATTAGGATTTTCTTAATAATCCAATTTAGCTAGCAATAAATTTCTTTAGTATATTGAATAAAAATTATTACAAACACAAATATTAGATTCAAAATTTGTACCTAAGCCACAGTCTTTCCTTCTCGCTACCTTGCCCAATTTTTGTGCTTGAAGCATACAGAACTAGAGTCGAGCATGATAGGGAAAAGCCTCTCTTATACCTCACACAGAAAGTAGAAGTGCCTCCTGCACACTCGATCAAGCATCTCTTGCATGGAGGAATAGTCACAATAAGCAGCTTGTGCGCATATATGCTTAATCAAGCATCATCTACACATGTGTGTCACTCGAGTTTTTGTGTGTTCGATTTGTGTGAAAATGAAGGAACGAAGGCATGCCTTGAGTGCAAAAAAAACCTTGCTCACACGACTGCGGAATTTTTCACTCTTCTTCTAAGCTTTTCCTTACAGCCAGACATAAGCGTGCGCAGAGAAGGCTCATCTTGAGTCGCTTCTCCACTTCCCTCTTTTCGGTTTCACCAACTCCCTCCCTTTCTCTCTTGTTGTCTCTCGCTCTCTGTACTCACACGTACGATTCAAATGAAAAGAAACTAGAGGATAAGCCATCTGTTTCTCCCATGGACAGTGGGAGCGTCGTTAGAACGACACTTGCGAAGTAGGTGTTGTAACCAAGTAATTAGAACATTTTTTTTAAATTAATTAAAATTAAAAATGATCATTACAATCTTCTCTACTTATAAAAATTAATTCTTAAAATTTAAGTATAAGAACATAATTCATAACTCAACTACATAGTTGTAGATATCTCTCTCATTTTTTTATTCGTTCTCTCATAAAACATCTCTTTCTGTCCCATGTTTCCACAATAGATGAAAATATGAATATCTCAATTTCTGATCTGTTTGACATCATAGTCCATAATTCTTTCGAGTTTTTTTCTACAAATGTCAGATCTGGATATTGCTAGGATACATGATAGGCTTGCTAGCCTCATTAGCAATGTATTTTCAAAATAAACAGATATGAATTATATACTCTATACATATGCCCTAGTAAAGCAAACATATAAAAACTATTTTTTTCTAATTTTCTCCAAAATCTCATAGTGACAAACACATCGTAGGCTCAATTTTTCAGACTTTTTA